GGTATAAAGTGGCAAAATAATGTTCAGGATGGTGACGCTGAGGTTTCTCTGATTTCCAGATACTGGGTGGGCAGCAGAAGGAGAAAGAGAGCTCTCTACAGCAGGTTGTTAATGAGGTAAGACCTGTGCAACCCCAAAGCTAAATCGCAACACTACACAGCCAAGTCTGGTCTAAGCAAGAAAATACTGTTATTAAGGAGAAAGTGAAGTCAGTATTTTAGTAATACTTTAAGAAACTGAGCACACAGTTAATCAAACAGTATAATGTAAGACTGGTTATATGTAATTAATAAGCGTAAAGAATACTTCGTTTGGCTCAAAGCAGAAGAACTCGGAGCGGCAGAAGCCCAACGTGTATTTGACTCACAGCAGCTGCAGTTACAGTGCGCACATAAAGGCTTGCACATACAATTTGTGTTAGTCAAGTGTGTTAATGAATGTCTGATACAGATCATTGTGCTGTCTGTGCTTTGTCAGTCTGGCCTGACCACAGTGGAACATGTCTGTAGTGATGGATGTGGGAACAAAGCTCAGGTTTCAAAGATGTTGACAAAATCAAACTCGTGTGTTGCCTCAGCTTCCTGTTAACTGGAACTGTGGCAACTCCATTCTCTGTCAGTGCGCCCCAGGGCAGCTGTGGCTACAATGTAGCTGCCATTGCCAATGTGTGAATGGGTGAATGTGTGAATGTAGTGTAAAGCGCTATACAAATGCAGGCCATTTACCATTCTTCAGTGGAGGCTTGTTTTGAAAAATACAGCATTTTATTTACAGCTCGGGCAATAACAATGTTAATTATACACAGAATGGACACAATTTCAATGTAAAACAGTTGAAGTTGAACACACTAAATGCTGCTAGTCTGATGTTAACTAGCGTTAGCTTGCTAACGCTTTCATACTCACCACTGAGCAGAATGAAGTTCTGAAGAACACCCACCATCACAATCAATCCCAACAAATATGCTTCGGTGACACAACATTGTGAAAACAGTGGCACATGTTGCAAGTCGTGTGATCAAGGTCAAGTATTAGCCTGCGCTCACTGCTGATTGGTTGTTACATGAAACCATATTTGTTTCAAACCAAATGATGTGTCGATCATTTACATCAGGAAATATTTTAAAGAATGATTTCTGCTTTCCTTTACTAGCTGCGGCCACAACAACAAAGTTATACTTTTGATAATGATTCAAAGCTGTATCGTTACAGTTGTACTTTGAAGCTAAATCGTGTTATATTTGAAAACAAAGCTTTCACATAATACAGTTAAGTTGAGTACAGATGATGTTACATGGAAACTGTTAGTAATGATAATAACACGCTGCACTTACAGTACTGTTGTTATAGTGCTGTTGATGCATTAATAGTGCAATTTATCAATACTTGAACTTTAGTGACTTGTTGTGTTTTCAACAGACAACCAGGGAGATGGTTGCACGCTCCTGTGCCACCATCGTCACACATCCCTTCCACGGTACAGCGTGACTCAGAGCCGTCACATTTTAAATGATTCAGCACAATATGCCTGCATACCTTCATGTTTCTCCTGACTTGTTTTCAGTGATCACTTTGCGATGTATGGTGCAGTTCATTGGAAGAGAAACCAAATACAGGTAACTTTAGTATTTTAGTTGTGATACTAAATGAGAAGAGCCGTGAGATTTATTA